CAACTATGTATAGACATAAATATATACAAATAGAAATATATATATATATATATATATATATATACATATATATATATATATATATACAAATTTATATGTACTTGTATAGTTTAGCGTTTATATACAAGTATAGCCATATAAACATATATATATATATATATATAAATGCATATACATATATATATATATATGTACATATTTACATCTATCTATATAAATATATAAATATATATATATATATATAGAAAAGAGTATTATTTATTACTTTCCTCGACTTCATCAGCGAAGAGAGCTTCATTTTGTTTTTTAAGCATTTCTTTTAGATCGTAGAGCAGCTGCGTTTCTCTCGCAGCTCTTTCTTCATAATTTAACATCGCTAAAGCTCTTTGTTCTTCTGCGCTGTACACTTGGTTTTCTTTCCGAATACGAATAGCATTCATTCGCCGGTGTCTGTGCATACACCCCAAATATAGAATATATTCTACATAATTTTATTTTATATTATTAAATATTTTATGTTTAAAATAAATTAAACAAATACATTTTTATTATCAACCATCTATCGTTAACATCAAACCGTAACACACAAAAAGACTAAACCCTAAACCCTAAACCCTAAACACTAGGTCGGATATGAAGGCATGCTGCAGTGCAAGGGATCAGGGGTTAAAGGAAGGTTATATTTATTTATATTTACTTGTGTTTAAATGCAATCAACGCTGATAAATAAGGGTTTAGGGTTTAGGGTTTAGGGTTTAGGGTTTTGTTTACCTCGAGCCGCTCATGACGTATCCCAAACTCTCAAAATTCGAAATCTCTTCAGCCGTCAGACCGACCTAAAAACGCAAACCCTAAACCCTAAACCCTAAACCCTAAACCCTAAACCCTAAACAGCAAACCCTAAAAAGGAAAGCACTTTTTGAAAACCCCAGGGGTTTGTGACCCTAAATTCCTTCAGGGCAGACCCAAACCCTAAACCCTAAACCCTAAACCCTAAACCCTAAACCCTAAACCCTAAACCCTCAATTACCTCTCCTCTTCTGGGGATACGTTTACCCTCTTGCACGAACTGCGCAATGGCTTCACCTTCTCCCGGTCGCAGCGCAAAACCGTAGCTGCACATACACCCCACACCCTAAACCCTAAACCCTAAACCCTAAACCCTAAACCCTAGTTCTGCCTAGGTGTCCAGAACCTCTGGCCGTCTCTGCAGGTTTTAATGGATTTAGGGTTTGACGACATAAATTAATTAGGGCCTAGAAAAGGGGGACCACCAGTAGGGTTTAGGGTTTATGCTCTTTTAGGGTTTAGGGTTTAGGGTTTAGGGTTTTACTCCATGTTCTTCTGAGCAAGTTTGTTCGTGACTTCCATCGGGCGAGGCCCCGCCATATCATCTTCTGAAGAACTTCCTTCTTCTTCTTCAGCCTCTGTACATACACTCCAAACCCTAAACCCTAAACCCTAAACCCTAAACCCTAAACCCTAAATCTTGAACATTTGGGGTTTGGCTTGAAAACCTATTTCTCGTCACACAGAAATATACTCAACATTGTACAGACGCTGCTGCAGCACCATCAACTGCTGCTATTGCTGCTGCTGCTGCTGCTAAAATACTGCTACTGCTGCTGCTGCTGCTATTACTGCTACTGCTGCTGCTGTCTACGTACTGTGTTGCATCTCAGCTGCTGCTGCTTCTAAGACAGCAACATTAGGCCGAGTTGCTGCTCTGGATGCAGGTGCTGCTGCGTCTGCTGCTGCTGCTCCCGTTGCTGCAGCAGGGGAAGTTGCTGCAGCAGCAGCAGCAGCAGCACGTTGAGGTGCAGCGGGCTCCTCCTCGTCCTCGCTGCTGCTGCTGTCGCTGCTGCTGCTGCTGCTGGCCTTCTTCCTCTTTTTCTTGCCTGAAGAAAAGCTCCGCACTCCACTATGAAACCCTAAATCCTAAACCCTAAACCCTAAACCCTAATCCGTAAACCCTAAACCCTAGCTGACTCACCCTTAGATTTTTTGTGTTTTTTGTGTTTTTTATGTTTTTTCTTCTTTTTCTTTCTGTCTGAATCAGAGGAGGAAGACCGTTTTCTTTTCTTTTTGTCTTGCTGCTGCTGCGGGCTGGTGCTGCTTGCTGCACCTGTAGCAGCAGCAAGCAGGGCTTCTCCCTGCCGCGCATGCAGACGTCCTTGCTGCTGCAGCTGCGCAGCAACAGCAGCAGCAGTGCTGCAGTTTGTCTCCTCAAACAGACGCTTGATCTCCACCATATCTTTGTAATACCCCACACCTGCAGCAGCAGCAGCAAATGCAGCAGCAACAGTAACAGCAGCAGCAACAGCAACACCACAGCAGCAGCAAAAACAGCACCAGGACCAGCAGCAGCATAAGCAGCAGCAGCAACAGCAGCAGCATAAGCAGCAGCAGCAAAAACAGCACCAGCACCAGCAGCAGCATAAGCAGCAGCAGCAACAGCAGCAGCAGCAACAGCAGCAGCATAAGCAGCAGCAGCAGCAAGCTAACCATTGTCTCCTTTTTTGAATACGAAGCCCAGCTTCTCCCCGCGGAACTGCTTCGACGCTACGAAGTCTGTCCCTAAAGCACTCGCCAACTCTGCAGCAGCAGCAGCAGCAGCAGCAGAATAAGCAGCAGCAAATGCAGCAGCAGCAGCAGCAAATGCAGCAGCAAGTGCAGAGGCATATGTAGCTGCAGAAGCAAGAAGGATTCGTGCAGCAGTAAAGCGACGCAGCAGCAGCAGAAAGTGCAGCATCACAAGCAGCAACAACTCGAGACAGCGAATAGCAGCAACAGCAGCAACAGCAGCAGCAGCAACAGCAACAGCAGCAACAGCAACAGCAGCAACAGCAGCAACAGCAGCAGCAACAGCAGGTGCATGTGTCTAACTGGCGTATTCTTGCTGCTGCATTTGCTGCCCTTGCTGCAGTTTTTTGTTTAGTTTTCTTTGAAGTCTTTCTTCTGTCTCCTTTCTTCTTTGTTCTGTCTCTTTATAATTCCTTTCAATTTCTGTCTCTAACAAACTACCAGCCATCCCTGGGGCTCTCAGACGCAGCGCTCCCTCCTCTAGCTGCTGCTGCTGCTGCTGCTGCTGCTGCTGCTGCTGTTTTGATGCTCCTGGAGAGTCGTCCTCGCTGTCGCTGTCGCTGCTGCTGCTGCTGCTGCTGCTGTCGCTGCTGCTGCTGCGTTTTTTAGATTTTTTCTTCTTGCCTCCTGCAGCAGCAGCAGCAGCAGTCTCTGCTGCTGCTGCTCCTCTTTCAGCTCTTTGTATTTTTTCTCTCCACTTTGTTTGTCTTGCGATTTCTTCTTCAGTCATCTGCGCTTGTCTAACTTTGTCTCTCTCGGAAGCAGCAGCAGCAGCAGCAGCAGCAGCAGCAGCACCTCCTGCTGCTGCAGCTGCGTTGTTGCCTCCTGCTGCTGCATTGTGTGCATCCGCTGGTACTGCCGCCGCAGCAGCAGCAGCAGCCGCTGCAGCAGCAGCAGCAGGAGCAGCAGCAGGAGCAGCAGCAGCAGAAGCAGCAGCAGCAGCAGCAGATACCTTCCAACGTGTAGGGCTAAGATCTCTCTCATGCCTCCAAATAGAAGAAGCATCAAATTGAAGTTTGTCTCTTGTCTCCTGTCTCTTCTGCTGCCAGCTTAAAAAGTCTATCCACTCTTCTTTTAAAGTGTTTAGGCCGAAAGGTAGACGATTTATATATCTTCTCTGTAATATAGACATCTCAGATGAAGCAGAAGAAGAAGAAGATGAAGAAGAAGATGATGATGATGAAGAAGAAGAAGATGATGATGATGATGATGATGATGAAGAAGAAAGCGCAACTGAAGAAGAAATATATACACATCACCATTCAAACAAACCCTTGTTAAAACAAAAGAAAATATTTAAATTAAAAATAAAAACACTAAAATATAATACAATACAAAAGAATCAAAGAAAGAAAAAAAATAAAGAAGGAAATGAAAAGGATAAAAGAAAAAGAAAAGAAAAAGAAAAGAAAAAAAAATAATAAAAAGAAAAAGAAAATAAAAAGAAATAAAAAGAAAAAGAAAAGAAAAGAAACAGAAAAAGAAAAGAAAAAGAAATAATAAAAAGAAAAGAAAAAGAAATAAGAAAAAGAAAACAGAATAAAAGAATAAAGAGATGAAGAGAATAAAAAAGTAATAAAAATAAAAAAATAATAAAAATAATAAAAATAAGAGAAGAGAAAGGAACAAAAAAAAAGCAAAGAAGAATATAAAGAAAAAAGAAAGAGAGGAGACAACAAATAAATAATAAATAAATAAAATTAAACTATATTAAATTAAATTAAATTAAAACAAATAAACAAATAAAAAACAGAGACGAACAAATACAGCAAAACCAACCCTAAACCCTCTAAATATGAACACCTAAACCCTAAACCCTAAACCCTTGACCCTAAACCCTAAACCCTAAACACTTCAGATAATAAACCCCAAAAGTTATAAACCCTTTTAATATACAAACGCCTAAACCCTAAACCACCGCTCATCTCTCTCTCTCTCTCTCTCTCTCTCTCTCTGTCTTCTTCGCTGTCTCCTTTCTTTCTTTCTTTCTTTGTCTATTTCTGTCTCTCTGTCTCTCTCTATCTCTTTTTCTGTCTCTCTCTGTCTCTCTATCTCTCTCTCTGTTTCTCTCTGTCCCTCTCTATCTCTCCCTCTCAGTCTCTCTCTGTCTCTCTCTCTATCTCTCTGTCTCTCTCTGTTTAATTTTTAATATTTTAAATTGCGTTGCATGCATTTGTTTGTGTTTCTTACAGTTGTTTTTGCTGTCTCCTTCTCTGTCTCCTCGCCCCCAGCCTCTGTTGTTTAGAGATATGTCTCTTCTCTCTACTCTGTCTCTAAACCTCGTTTCTCTGTCTCCTTCTCTGTCTCTGTCTCCTCTATATGCATCTCTGTCTCCTCTATATACTTCTCTGTCTCCTTCTCTGTCTCTGTCTCTGTCTCTGTCTCTGTCTCCTTCATACATGTCTCTGTCTCCTCTATATAAATATCTGTCTCTGCCTCTGTCTCTGTCTCCTTCATACATGTCTCTGTCCCTGTCTCTGTCTCTGTCTCTGTCTCTGTCTCCTTCATGCATGTCTCTGTCTCCTCTATATCTGTCTCTGTCTACTTCATATATATCTCTGCTTCTATATCTGTCTCTGTCTCTGCTGTCTCCTTCTGCTGCATTTCTTCTTGTTGTTTGAAGGTAGCGGTGCTTGTCTGGAGCTTCTCTTGCTGCTGCTGCTGCTGCTGCTGCAGTTTCTGCTGCAGCAGATACCGCAGTAGCAGCAGCAACTGCAGCATGAGCAGCAAAGAGGTGCGCAGCAAATTGAGCTGCTTGCTGCTGCTGCTGCTCCTGCTGCTGCTGCAGAGCCCTTTGTCTTGCTTCTCTGGCTCGCTGTTCTTCCTGCTGCTGCTGCTGCTGCTGCTGCAGCTCTTGCTGCAGCTTCTGCTGCTGCTCCTCTCTCGTTCGCTGCAGCACTTCTCTAACCCTTGCTAAGGCCCCTTGCATTTCCGGCTGTCTCTTCTTTGCTGCTGCTGCAGCAGCAGCAGCAGCATCAGCTTCTTCATCGCTGTTGTCTCTCTCTCTGCTGTCTCTGTCTCCATCTCTCTCTCTATCTCTGTCTCTGTCTCTTCTTCTCTCTCCTTCTCTGTCTCTGTCTCTGTCTCTGTCTCTGTCTCTGCTTCTGTCTCTTTCTTTATCTTTGTCTCTGTCTCTGTCTCTGTCTCTTCTGTCTCCGTTTAAACGATTATCTTCATCTCTGTCTCTGTCTCTGTCTCTTCTTCTGTCTCTTTCTTTATCTCTGTCTCTGTCTCTTCTCTCTCTATCTCTGCCTCTGTCTCTTTCTTTATCGTTGTCTCTGTCTCTATCTCTGTCTCCTTCTCTGTCTCTGTCTCCTTCTCTGTCTCTGTCTTTATCTTTATCTTTATCTTTATCTTTATCTTTATATTTATATTTATCTCTATCTCTGTCTCTGTCTCTGTCTCTGTCTCTTCTTTTGTTGCCTCCTTCGTCCCTCTCAAGGGACATCTCCATTTCTTCGCGCTCCATTTGCTGCTGCTGCTGCTGCTGTTGCTGTTGCTGCTGCTGGTGCAGCTGTTGCTGATGCTGCTGGTGCAGCTGTTGCTGATGCTGCTGCTGCAGCCGTTGCTGCTGCTGCTGCAGCTCTTGCTGCCGCTGCTGCTGCTGCAGCTGTTGCTGCTGCTGCTGCTGTGGTGCCAAGCTGAAAGGGCTGATGACTCCACTCAATTTATTGCTGCTGCCGGTTTTGTTATTGTTGTTGTTGCTGCTGCTGTTGCTGCTGCTGCTGTTGCTGCTGCTGTTGCTGCTGCTGTTGCTGCTGCAGCAAAGCCAGGAAATCCCTCTGTTTAACTAAGCAGCAACACGCGGCAGAGCAGCTGCAGCAGCTGCTGCTGCTGCTGATGTTGTTGCTGCTGCTGCTGCTACTGCTGCAGTCGCTGCTGCTGCAACAAAGGCGGCAGGAAGACAATAAAAAATAATTATAAGAAAAGCAAGAGACAAAAAACGAAATAAAATAACAGCAGCAGCAAAAGAAGGATTTGCTGCTGCAGCAGCCAGCCCCTGTAAGAACGCATGCAAACAGCAGCAACAGCAGCAGCAGCAACAGCAGCAGCCGCTGCTGCTGCTGCTTGAGTTGTTAATGTGTCTTCGTTTTAAATATCGTTTAAATTATTTGTCTTGCTCTCACCTCTCCTGTGTTTACATTCTTCTGCTTCTTCTGTTTTGCTGCTGCTGCAGCCGTTGCTGCTGCTGCTATTGCTGCTGCTGCTGCTGCTGCTACTGCAGGGTCTTGGGGCTGCATGCCCCCCTAGTGAAATTGTTTCGCGATTCTCTCTGGAGAAGCTCTGCTGCAGCAGCAGCAGCAGCAACAGCAGCAACAGCAACAGCAGCAGCAGCAGGAAGAATTGCTGCAAGACAAACCCTCAGTACCCCCTTGGGGTGTATAGGCAGATATTTCGTCTGCTGCGATTTGTTTCTTCCGTTCTTCCAAACCCTAAACCCTAAACCCCAAACCCTAAACCCTAAACCCTTGCTTCCTCTCCTCCCTTACCAGTCTGCAATCTGCTGCCTTAGCAGCAGCAACCGTAGCAGCAGCAGCAGCAGCAATAGCAGCAGGCGGAGTCTTTCTCAGGTTTTTGCTGCAGCAACGATGAGTACCCCCGGCAGCAGCAGCAACAGCAGCAGCAGCAGCTGCTCCAGCCTTGGGGGCAGCAACGGCAGCAGCAACAGCAGCAACAGCAACAGCAGCAGCAGCAGCGACTCTGCTGCTGCTGTTACTATAAACCCTCAACTTAAACGAACAGCAGCACATGATGCTGCTCTATTAATTGTTAAGGGCGCTGCATGCGTTGTCTTCAAAATACCTGTAGCCAGAACAACCCGCAGAATCAAATTCTCCGTAAACCCTAAACCCTAAACCCCAAACCCTAAACCCTAAACCCTAAACCCTGGAGGGATTACAGCGGATATGGGGTCTGCAGTTTGTTCGACGTTTAGATAATACATTTTGAGTAGAAACTGCAAAGAGAGGGTTTAGGGTTTAGGGTTTTAGGGCCTAGGGCTTAGGGTTTAGGGTTTAGGGTTTAGGGTTTAGGGTTTGTGTATGTTGCAGAAAGGGTACAGCTGCACGGTAACACTGGGTCCGATCCCTGGTCTTTCAGAAGCAGCAGCAGCAGCAGCAGCAGCGGGAGGAGGGCCTCAGGCGCAGCAGCAGCAGCAGCAGCAGCTTCAGGAGCAGCAGCAGCTGCTGCAGCAATTAGCGAATGCAGCAATAGAAGAAGACAAACAAATATTAGCGTTTGAAGTATCTCGAAAGACAGCAGACAAACGTTATGAAGAATCTTATCTTGATGAATTCGGCATACCTGCAGATCTGCAAACGTAAACCCTAAACCCTAAACCCTAAACCCTAAACCATTGCGGGGCACGGGCGATACTTTCAGCGAGAATGCTGCAATTATTCAGCATGCACGTAGTGGACTAGGGTTTAAGGTTTAGGGTTTAGGGTTTAGGGTTTAGGGTTTGAGGGTTTTGCTGCAGAGTTCGCATTTGCGCCATTCGAGACTGCGCAGTCAATGCAAACGGTGAGGGTTTAGGGTTTAGGGTTTAGGGTTTAGGGTTTGTTTGTTCTTTACACTTACCCGCTCCTCCTGCGTACGGGCTTGGTGCTTGTTGCCTAGGGTTTAGGCTTTAGGGTTTAGGGTTTGTATTGAAGGATATCCGATCCTTGGGTGTAAGGGTGTTTACGAGGGTTTAGGGTTTAGGGTTTAGGGTTTAGGGTTTAGGGTTTAGGGTTTAGGGTTTGTGTCTCAGCGTATCCTATTCTTTCTCGTACGGGTTTATTTGAAAAGATAGAGATAGGCCCCTTGAAGAGCAATGCAGCAAAGGAGACAGTAGATATTTGTTTTACTTTTACTGTCTCTTCTTCTCTTGAAAATATATCCCTAAACAATACAGAGTACTTAGCTAAGCTGCTTCCGCATGCATCAGAAGATGAGCTCCCGACCCTCGCCGAGGTACAAACCCTAAACCCTAAACCCTAAACCCTAAACCCTAAACCCTAGTGTAGAGAAGAAGTCTGTGTGTTATTGCGTTGTGTGGGTTGTCTGAATTTGTTGCTCCTGCTTTTTTTAGGGTTTAGGGTTTAGGGTTTAGGGTTTAGGGTTTAGGGTTTTGGGGTGTATGCGCAGCTGCTACCGCCTTCGGGTGTAGAGACAGCCCGAGAGGAGACAGCAGAAGAAGGAGACAGCACTTTAGTTACGCCTTGGCAGGTGAAAGCAGAAGGAGGCGTCGACTACAATAAACTGCTTAAAAAATTCGGCTGCTCTCCGATCACCCCTGCACTCCTCAAACGGTAGGGTTTAGGGTTTAGGGTTTAGGGTTTAGGGCTTAGAGCTTAGAGTTTAGGGCTTACGGTTTAGGTTTTAGGGTTTAGGGTTTAGAGGGTACAGTTTACGGTTTCAGGGAGCAAGCTTTAGGTTGCGCTTAGGGTTTAGGGTTTAGGGTTTTAGTGCTTATGATTCGTCATTTAGGGTTTAGGGTTTAGGGTTTAGGGCTTCAGGTTGTAGGAATTCGAATTAACAGCAGAGTTGATTGTTTAGGGTCTACGATTTGTTTGAGGTTTATGCCCTACGGTCTATACCCTACGTTTAAGGGTTTAGGGTTTAGGGTTTAGGGTTTAGGGTTTGTGTGCAGGATAGAAGATGCAACGGGCCGTCCTGTACACCACATGTTATCGAGGGGTTTATTTTTCTCGCATAGGGATTTAGATGTGCTGCTGACGCATTATGAAAAACACAAAGCAGCAGCAGCAGCAGCAGCAGCAGGAACAGCAGCAGCAGCAGCAGCAGCAGCACCTCCTTTCTACTTGTATACAGGCAGGGGGCCTTCAAGCGAAGCACTTCATATCGGTCACCTCGTTCCTTTCCTCTTTGCAAAATATCTCCAGGTCCTAAACCCTAAACCCTAAACCCTAAACCCTAAACCCTTTGGGGTTAGGGGGTTTAGTTGGCGTTGTGTTGTTTTAGGGTTTAGACAGCAGCAAAAAAGAAAGGGTTTCCTTGCAATGTTACATATACAATATATATAATATATTATATATATATATATCATATATATATAATATATATATACATGTATGCATGCATATGTAGATATATACATATATATATGCATATATATATTTATTTATTTATTTGTTATTTATTTAAGGTTTAAAATTTTATTAATTAATTATGAATGAGGAGTGGATGTTAATAGACGATGACCAGCTGATAAATGAAGAAGTAAATATATTTGTTTATTATTTATTTGATTATGTTTGCTGCAGGAGGCCTTTGATGTTTTATTAGTTATTCAGTTAACTGAAGATGAAAAGTATTTATTTAAAGACGAGTTGGGTCTGCAACAAACAAAGAGATTAGCCTTTGAAAATGCTAAAGATATTATTGCTTGTGGCTTTGATTTAGATAAAACCTTCATCTTCTGCAGTCCGTATACACCCTAAACCCTAAACCCTAAACCCTAATTCGTGTTGCGGCTTTGATTTAGATAAAACCTTCATCTTCTGCAGTCCGTATAAACCCTAAACCCTAAACCCTAAACCCTAATTCGTGTTGTGGTTTTGATTTAGATAAAACATTCATCTTCTGCAGTCCGTATAAACCCTAAACCCTAAACCCTAAACCCTAATTCGTGTTGTGGTTTTGATTAAGATAAAACATTCATCTTCTGCAGTCCGTACAAGCCCTAAACCCCAAACGTAGGAGTCTCATTAGGGTTTAGGGTTCCTATTAGGGTTTAGGGCTCCTATTACGGTTTAGGGTTTCTATTAGGGTTTAGAGTATAGGGTTTAAGGTTTAAGGGTTTAAGTGTTTAGGGTTTAAGGTTTTATGAAAGGTTTATTAAGTGTTTAGGGTTTAAGGGTTTATGAAGGGTTTATTAAGTGTTTAGGGTTTAGGGTTTGTTTAGTGTATTATAAGGGTTTAGGGTTTAGGGTTTGTTATATTGTTGTTTAGACACGGATTATATATCTTCTTTATACCCGACAATGCTGAAGATTCAAAAGAAAGTTAATTTAAATCAAATTCGAGCAATCTTTGGCTTTGAAGGCAGCGACAATATAGGGAAGGTTGCGTTCCCTGCAACTCAAGCAGCCCCATCATTTGCATGCGCTTTCTCTTCTATCTTTGGAGACTCTCCAGCAACAAACAACATCAAATGCCTTATCCCGCAGGTATTCAAAGGGTTTAAGAAGGGTTATTAGGGTTTGTTAGGGTTTATTAGGGTTTGTGAAAGTTTCAAAGGGCTTGTGAGGGGTTTATTAGGGTTTATTAGGGTTTGTGAGGGTTTATTAGGGTTTATGAGGGTTTATAAGGATTTATAAGGGTTTATGAGGATTTAGAAGGGTTTGCGAGGGTTTATGAGGGTTTATGAGGGTTTATGAGGGTTTATGAGGGTTTAGGGTTTGTGGGTGTTGATTAGGGTTTATTAGGCTTTATGATATTTTAAGGTTTGTTAAAGGGTTTGTAATTATAGAAGTAAATATGTGTATATAAATAAATAATTTAAAACAATAAATAGATAAATAAATATATTTATCTATGCTTATACATGTATGTATAAGAATAAATAAATATATTAATATAAACAAATAAACAAGTGTATATCGATGTATTCATATATCCTAATGTATATTATATACAAAATATATATTATATATATATATGCAAATATAAATATATATTTATATATATAATTGTATATATATATATATATTTATATATATAATTATATGTATATTTATTAATTTGCTCTGATATATTTTTATGAGTAGGCGATAGACCAAGACCCGTACTTTCGCATGACGCGCGATGTTGCCGTTCGTGTGGGGCTGCCTAAACCCTCTTTAATTCATTCAAAGTTTATTCCTTCGCTTTTAGGGTTTAATACGAAGATGAGTGCAAGCAGCAAATGCAGCAGCATTTATGTCTCCGATACACCCAAACAAATCGCTGAAAAAATTAATAAATTCGCATTTTCAGGTCCTAAACACTCTTCATTCGCTCTTCCTTCAATATTATATATATATATATATATATATATATATATTTATATTGTTTATTGTATATATGTAGATATATATA